GAACATTCTGGAACCTAATCTGATCAGACGTTAGTCAACATCAGTGATTAGAGACCAGCTGTGTGTGTGTGTGAGTGTGTGTGTGTTACGCCTACTGTACTTGTGACCTTTGTGCCGTGGATGCGTGTCTTTGTGTGTCTGGTCCAAAGACTGTTTACTTCTCTGTGATAATCTGTTGATAATCTGGTCGGAATAAACTGCACAGATTGGCTGGATTCACAGCTGCAGTAGCCTGTACTACAGACCGCAGTACTGTACTGTACTGTACTGTACTGTACTGTACTGTACCGTACCGTACTGTACCTGCTGGAGTTGATGCTCCCACCTCTGAGGATTACAGCCAATGGGATTACATCAGATTATTATCTCGGTGAATGCCCCCCCACCCGTTCTAAAAACAGAAATGACATATTAAAGGTGCAGTGAGTGGGATTTAGCCACACCTGCTGGTCAACTCACGGTACTGCGCCGGCTGTGGATGAATTTCTGTCACTCTTTCTGTAAACAGAAAATAAACTTTGATTATAAAAACAAATATTTTTTATGGAGAAAAAAATTATCTGTGGTACAGTAATAAAAAAACGAATCACTCTCCACTGGACTGCTCGGTGTTTCAGTGTGTGTTTTTCGTCCGGTGATGCTGCCCCCTGTCTGCATTTTCTACTTGACGTGGAAACGTTTACCTGTGGAACAGTCGAAGTGAGTCGTGAACCTGTAAAACCTGTTACTTTGTCAACACCGTCAGAGTCAGGCGAGACTGTGAGTATTGAGTTAGATCTGTGGTACTGTGGTACTGTTACTTTGTCAACACCGTCACAGAATCAGGCGAGACTGTGAGTATTGAGTTAGCGCTGCTAAGCTAACATAATAGCTTTCAGTTAAGCCTAAAACAAGAGGAAGATTGATGGAGGCGGAGCTTAAGATATAAAAAAAGCAACCAGTGCCAACACACCACTTCAACTGCTGGATAAGGCCAAACCGTGTTTACAGCACCCCCTGCAGGGAAGAGAGGAGACTGTGAGACACACCCGGAAAAAAAAAAAACACAAATTAACTCTAAACTCCAGTTCCCTTTATTGACATTTATTTATTTCTCTAACTTGGTTTGCAGTAAACATGAGCAAAAATGTACAGACAGTAAGAGCAAAAAAATAAAGATTCAGAGTAGAATTAACATCCATCCTTCATGGGTGACAGGATCTCAGCAAAGTTCGTGGTTCCTTCGTGAAACACCTCCGTCTTAGGCAGTTACACAAGAAGAAAACGAAAAGAAATTCTTTCGCCTTTAAGACGTGAATATTTCTCTCTCTCTCTGGCGTTTTCTTTTTTCTTTTCTGGGCCCTGCGTTCGTTCACTGGATCATTTTATATTTTGTTTTTCATCTGAAGTGAAGTAAATACGTCACCAAATAATTCCCTAAAAACTCTCCTAAATCTTCAGCCACAGAGAAGTTTCAATCCTCACCAGATCAAAATAAACAAAAAAATATAGAAATATAGACAAAAAAAACCCGGCCCTAAATTAAAAACTTTTCCCGTCGAGCTGTCGACACTTTTTCACTTTGTTGCGGTTGAACTGAGTTAAAATGAGTCAAACCTTCCACTGAGTTTCCAGGACGTGATGCGAACCAACCAAGACATTCTCTCCGCTCTACATCAAAATAGCAAGAAAAATACTCTTTTTTTTTCTTCCTTTTTTAGAAAAACAAAAATAATAGCATTTATATTTTTCCATCTCAGTGACACAGACTGGCAAGAAAAACCAACCCAAAAATAAATAAATAAATAAATAACACCACCAGAATGTGACATCTCTAAACTCTTCCCACTTCCTCTTTTTCTCCTTCTTCTTCTTCTTCTGCTCTTTGTGATAAACGTCACGCAGCCACACACAAATCAATTGATAATTATATATATATTTATATATATATTGCTTTTTGAAGACATCTCCAAATTATCACAAAAACCCAATAATGGATAAATGGAGACAACAGGATAAACATTCTGTGTAACACTGTCTGTCCACCAGGAGGCACTGTTTTCACTGCAATGGATTATTATTAATATTACGATGATGATGATCATTATTCTTATTATCGAGGTGTATTCATTTGTGTCGTTCTATTTGCGTCCCTCCCGCAGCCCGCCGTCGCCATCGTTTTTCTGAACTCGTACAACGAGTCAGAAAAGTTGGAAATGACATGAAAGTCTTTGGTCGAAGAAAAAATCTTCACATGCATTTACTGCAAGTGCAAAACGTGGAGCAAAAAATACACTTTTTTTTCTGGGTTTTTTTGTTTTGTTTTTGTTAAACTCTTAAAATGGAAAGGCTCGGAGCGGAACGCTTCTCCATGCTAATGACATGCTAACGGTGAAGCAAGTGTGGGTCGAAAGAAGGAGTAGAAGGTGGAGGAGGAGGAGGAGGAGGAAGAGAAGGAGGAGGAGGAGTAATTCTTAACAAAGTAGGTTGAAGGGGTTCAGCATGCCTGCTCTGGATTAGCCGACCAGATTAAGAGATTACAGGGAAGTGAAGTAAGTGTAGGAGGAATGCTGTGGTGGGACGAGTCGAGACGGAAGTGACAACAAGGAGCAAAAATGAACCCCGGACGAGTCGATGGTTGATTCTGTGTCGATTATTTCTGTCTCAGATGTGTGGCTACGCGTTTGTAGCTGTGCAAAGGTAACGTTTAGATTTTCACCACCAACATTGACGCTAATATTGATCGCAGCACAAAGATCGCAGCTCGTTACACGAGTGACTGTGTGTGAACGGAGGTTTAAAGATGAAAAAGGCTGAAGGTCGAACATTATTTTAATGGTTTAATAGTGTTTTTCATGACGTCAAGTTTATTCAATTTCCAAAGTCGATTTTCCTCCAAATAGGATCAGAATCTGTTCTTAATTTTTCGATTATTCGGTGGTTTCTGACACAGGATGACGACAGTGTGTTCAACGGTTGGACACCGTCACTAAAACCTGAACGCAGTAACAGTCAACAGTAACAGCTTCAGCACCAGAATCATCATTTGTCAGTTGTCTGCTTCGGTTCTTGGGTCTATTTTCCTCTAAACGGGATCAGAATTTAATTTAAGTTTTCAATTTCTAAAATGTAGTTCAGACCAAATATCTGGCGCTGACCTCCTACGTCCTCTGGTCAAACACCGATGAAGCACTGAACCCAAGGAACAAGTAAACAGCTTCAGCACCAATACCTGTGCTCATGTTTATATGGTCTATTTTCCTCTAAATAGGATCTCGCGGTAATTTACAAAAATGTACAGAACGATTAAAACCAACATCTAACGACGTAAACGGGGTTTGTTTATAACAAGGTGAGAATTAAATAATAATCATTTACGTTTATTCCTATCCATACAAAGACACGTCTTTTCAGGGGGATTTACACTAAAAATTGATCACAGAACCACATACCTATGCCCCTAGTGGTTAGATACTGTCATCGCACTAATCCCAGAACATGAGTGAACAGTTTCAGCACCAATATCGTAGTTGATCAGTTTCTAAAAAGACGGGTTGTGGACGGTGAAGTAACAGTTCAGACTTGTACTGCAGTACAACCTGACTTACAAAGTAAATTCAAAGTAATCCTACTTTTGGTTCATGGTCGTTACTACAGTACAGGCCTAAAAAAAAACTACAGTCAGAAACTTCTGACACGTTAAAACACGTATGTACAAAAGTCAACTCAAAGTCACGCCTCAGAGTAAATAAATACAAAATAAAAGACAAACACACTCAGGCATCTATTTCTGTAACAAAATAGATGCAAAAACACGGGAAAACATGAAGAGTCGATGTGAAAACAGAGCAGGAAAGTTTGGAGTTGGAGTTTTTTAACCCTTTGTTTTCGTACATGTTAAAACTCTTAGCATGAGGCTAAAGCTCTGTGGCGCTAACGGATCAACGGCGTCGTCTCAGTTGATGGAAAAACACCAACGTAAAACGCTGTGTTTTTACCGGACTGAGCTAAAAGTCCGTTTGTCGTTGTGCGTTTGTTGGAATTCGGAACCCGAGCAGCGAAGAAGAAAAGTCCGTCGTCTGCCGACGCGTTAGCTTTTCTTATTAGAATTACGATGACTATTGCACGTGGCATGCAATTTCCCGACCTACAGTGTGAAAAGGTTGTTAATGGAACACACACACACACACACACTCAACAATCACACACACACACTTTCTCGCTCTGGCACAGACTCTAACCCTATTTTTCCGACTCCTCTTTTTTCTCTAACCTTATGTTGCAGTCGTGAGGTTTAAAAGATCACAGTGCTGCCCCTCCTGGTGGTCAGTGGTTCTTCACACTAAGCAGAGAGGTGGGACACAGAGGGGGTGAGGGTTGGGAGGGGGGAGGGGGTAAAGGGGGCGGGGCCTCCTGCTCTCAAAGCACACGAAGGACAAATACACACATGCAAAAATGGCTTCAACTCTGAACTGCGTCCGCCGCCGAGATTTACACAGATTCCGTCGGAAAAATTCTTCCGGAGTGCAACAAAACGGATGCAGTGATATAAGTCTGTGATACCTTATAAATACTCGATATACACATGTTTGTACTGTAGTCTGTGTATACTCATACATAGAGGGATATTCTGTCAGGAGGCAGCAGGAGGAGGGGGGGCAGCGGTGGCCTGTTAAACGCCGCTGGTCCCTGAAAACACAGGTTCGCGTCCCGTTCTATCCCCGTAGTACTTTGTCATGCAGTATAAATAGACGTCACCTCGAACTAATGTACAGGAAAAGAACAGAAAAAGAAAAGGATTTGTCCCAAAGCTCACAGACAGAAAGAATGACAGGATTAGCACCCCTACGGTTCTGACCTCACCTCGACCGCCCCACTGGGCCGCGACCCAGCGGTAGAGCAGCGGGCTGTAAACGTTTTCTAAAAAAAGGGTGTGAATACTGTGATCGGTTTCTGTGTATGTGCCACGTCGGCCAGAATGAAGAAAGTAGTTAGTTATTCAGAGGAGGAGGGGGTGAGGCCTAATCGTTGGAGTTGATCCTCAGCTTGAAGGACACTCTTCCGGCAAACTTGTCTCTTTCACTTCCAGTGGGAATGTTGTTGGCGTTGATCTTACACTCCACGTTCACGTCCTGATTCAGGGTGATGTTCTGGAACTTGACGGCCACTAGGGGCTGGGAGTAGTTCACCTGCAGAGACACGCCCACCAAACAGGAAGTCAGAACCAGAGTCTGGGACGATTAATCACTAAATCTTTGAGACGGAAAAAAGTCAGGATTTCAACGACAAACCTTTGAACTTTTAAGGAAAAATAAAATAATAATAACAATTAAATTATAACTTTGATGACTCTACTTTAAAATTAAGTTTCTTAAGTTTCTTAAGACATATATATATATATATACAACATACACCCAATATTTAACATTTAAACATTAGAATTTTGATCGTATTGACACTGTAGTAAAAGACATTTTTTTTATTTATCATTAAATTGTTTATTTTATATTTCTTCAGGATTTATTTCTAAATTATTTCTGGGGGCCTACACCGTCAAAGACAGGTCAAAGGTCAAAGGTGGTTTTTTTTACCAGTACTGTAAGGTCTCACCTGAGCCTTCTTGCCGTAGTACGGGTAGTACATGAGGTTGAAAGTACCATTAGGAGGGTAATACTCCAACTCTCCAATCTTATCAGAGTCTTCTCTCTGAGGAGGTAAAAACAGTTAGCATGACGGCTAACAAGACACCACAGATAAACAGACAACATATATATATATATTTACTAATAGATTTAATAAATATTATAATATTATTATTTAATATTAAATGTACACACATACTGTGTTCACTAACACATAATAACTAGTTATCTATGTCTAACTACACTCTACTCCAGTGTTTCTCAAATGGTGGGTTGTGGCCCAATATTGGCGACCAGTTCATGCCCAGAGTTGAATTGACGTTTATGCATCAAAACAAACAACTCAGCTAACGATGCTAATGATGCTAACAAGAGTTAAGAGTCGTCTTTTAGAAAAAAATAACACTAAAGGATGATGAATAAATATGATCTTAAAATAAAATGCCCCATAAAAGGGCCTGGGCTCCACCGTTTGAGAACCACCGCTCCATTTCTGTTGTTTTCCAATAACGTTTGCTCCTGTTCTTACCCATTCGTCTTTACCAACTTTGTATCTCTGACCGCGGACACAATAAACGATGGAGAGACAGAAGAAGACAGAGAGTGGAGACAGGCGACACCCACAGGTGAAAATGATGAAGTACAGAAACACACACATGAAGGTGACATACTGTGAAATGAGGGTGAGTCAGAGGAGTCATGGAGGGGCAGGGGGGTCCAGAGGGGACACGTTAGGACAGGCAGCGGGGAAGACAAACAGGAATTACCTTGGCACCACAGGTGACGTACGGAGCCTGACCGTTCTTTCCTGGCAACATTCCAATCACCTGGGGGGGGGGGAGAAGGGGAGAGAGAGAGAGAGAGAAAAAAAATCATCACCATCACTCCTCCCCCATGGGTTTATTTCCTCCCTCATTTAAACCAAGTTTTCCTGCACTAACTGAAGCCTTCCTATTTATTTCTCACGGCTTCAGTTCCTCCTGGTCTCCTAGCAACACCATCCATTTCCTTCTCCTCTCTCCCTCTTTCATACCCGATTCAGCTTGATGATGATGCACGGCTTGCCCAAGTCGTATCCATAGTTACGGTCGTGGATTCCGGAGCACATTCCCAGGATGGTGCGGTTGAACTGACAGGATCGTTTGGGGTTGTTCTTCACGTCGTTGCTGTCCTCCTGCACAAAGTACTGGTCGGCGACGCACTCCTCGTTCTTCTGGATTTGGACGGATTCGTTGTAGGCTGCGCGGGGGAGGAAAGTGAGAGGGTTGGTATCAAACAGAGAACACTAAAGGTCATTTTCTTCACATCATGCGACTCCACATAAAACAGCTTGTTAGCCTAACGCTAACAGTCTTGTTATCTGGAACAAATTCATCTTCGTTCTGACAGGAATCATTTAACGCTAAGACCACAACCTCAGCCATGAGTACGGAGCTAGCATGACGGATGTTAGCGTACGATAGCACGAGCACCACTCTAGCATGTTGCATTTTATTTTTCTTGAATGCTAGGCCAAGCTAACCCTGCTGCCGCCCCGCAACTTTCTTCTTTAGGCTTCACCGACAGATATTTTGAGTGTCATTACTGCCACCTATTGGCTCGTTTTTATATGCTGAAAATATATAAAACGTAGAGGTCACCAGAAATTAAAACATTGTCAACAGACAGGAAATACAAGGAGGAAGGTAAGAACTTTGCTAATGCTAACAGGACCAGATACTCTGTGTAGCATTAGTGGATGACGGTGAGTAAAAAAAACGTTTATTGGATGGAATGAAGGTTGTTTTTTTTGTTTTTTTTTAATGAACCTGATCCCTACGTGACCTATTGATCTCCTATCAGGGTGAAAGCATCTTCTGGACTTACGTGTCAGGAACTTCTCCAGGGCCTGAGTGTACAGGTCCCAGCTCTCCGTGTTCTGGATGTTGTAGGTGATCTCGAAGGTCTCGTCTGCTTTGGGTCTAATCACCAACCCTGTGAGTGACAGGGAGACGGCAGAGAGCGTCAGACAAGGCCACGCACACACACCAACACACACCAACACACACACACACGCTGTGTTTCATTAGTGACTGCACCTGGTGTGGAGAGCCGGTCCTGCCAGGTTGGTTTGTGGTCGTCCAAGGTCTGAAGCATGACATACATGGTGAGAGCAAACAAGCCGGCGAGGAAGATGTAGAAAACTAGGTAGAAGGCAAAAATGAGACCTGGGAGAGAGAGAGAGAGAGAGAGAGAGAGAGAGAGAGACAGAGAGACATTAGCTGAACATCTCGTTAATCAACATCCAATAAAACCTAATACAAACCAGAACATAATTAATATTTAAAATAAAAAACCCTGCAGGTAAGAGAGAGAGAGAGAGAGCGAGGCTACGTGGAGTTTCTGGAATCATTCACCAGTTCTAACTATTCTGGTCCAAACCATTAATATTTCAGCATGTAGACCACTGCAGCCGGGAATCAAACCCACACCCCTCCAGGTTAGTGACAGCTGACCTGTCCACTGAACCACAGCCGAGACAAAGTACTGCAGAAACAAGATACTGTACCTGGTGAAAGGCGACAGAATAACGTGAAGAGTGATGGTTAAAGAGTGGGATTCGACCAATGAACACGAAGGACGACGACTGTTTAGATGTTGACACTGAGTTACGAGCTGATGTTTCCTGTTACCTTCACAGCGCTGAGCTCTGCTGCCTCCACATGGACGTCTTTTTATTTACGCATGAAGGTCACAGTACGTCGATCGGGAACTATAAAACGCTTCATCTCCAAGGCTCCGACCGTCAGCTGTCATTCGTTACATTTTAATATTTGCTGTCGAGGACGAAACGATACATTTGTTTTAAACGACTTTTCTGTCCGACGAGTTTGAAAACATGGTCTCTCTCAGAAACAGCTAACCGTCGGTTGACGCTCCTTTCATATCTGAGCTTGTCTTTGATTTAAAAACATGAATAAGTCGGGATGACGGTTAATTTTGGCTAACTGATATTATTGGCAAATGTTAGCATAATTACGTAACATCGTTACACAGAAATCATTTTGAAGTGAAGGTGAAGTATTGTCGTTGTGACCCAACTACAAACGGCTACGTCGTTATCGGTTGATATCGGATCGGAAAGTGTTTGGAAAAATATCGGAAAAAGTTTATCATGTGTAATAATAAGGGAACGAGTAAATCAGCGCGCAAAAGATTTTATTATTTTTTTATGCGTGTGTTCTGTTTTTTTTAGAAATTGAACCAACTACTAATGAGCTTCGTAATTCTGTACTTCGTTATTGTGAGTTCGCAAAGTCAATATTTGTGCGTCGGCCTCGGCTCAGTTACAAATCAAATATTTGGTATTGATTCAACGGCTCATTTGAGCTGCGGAGACCACGGGGCAGGAACACAAAGACTCCCTGGAGGCTGGACCACAGGGTCAGGGAACATCCGAGTCGGTTCTAAACCACAGGGTCAGGGAACATCCGAGTCGGTTCTAAACCACAGGGTCAGGGAACACCAGGGACTCTGAGAGGGAACAGACAACGGAACAGAACCTGATCTTGTTCTTTGACTGTGGAGAACCTCTGGTTCTCTGTTCTACATTTGAACAACCTTCTCATTTTTAGGGCATTGAACCCATGACCTCCATCTAGCAGCAGCTGGGAGTTCTGACCCTGTGCTGCTGCTGCCGGACGCCCCCTCCCCCTCCCCCACCTCACAGATGGGCTTACACACATCTATAATGAAAATGTCGGGGGGGAGCTGGTCCTTGGGGGGCAATAAGAGCACGGCGGGGTCGGAGTCTCGACCCAGGATTTCTTTATTCCGAAATGGAGATAAAACAAAATGGTGAATGAGATTTGAAGTTAGCATCGTGTCAGAGTCGAGACGGAGACGAACAAGAACAAGAACTGAGGACTTCGTTAACCCTGCGATGGAAAGTCATGATCAAAATCTAACAGCAGGGGGCAGATTACATTCTACTGACATCTAACTGCAGGCTGCATGTCGGGGGTCCACGGGCCTCTTTTGGCCCACGGGTCGGGACTTGGGCACCCTTACTTTACATTATTGGACCAAGATGGAAGAGAAACAAACGTATGAAGGCAGGAAAAAATGTCAAAGCGAATTAAAAAACGTCAGTTAGTAGAGCTCCCTCTGCTGGCTGAGCTGTTTGTTTCACCAAGGACCAGAGCAGGTGGTTGGTTCGACCTCCTGCTCCTCACTGACTCCAACATCTCCACATTGATTCTAATTACACTCCCACTTTATTGAACCTGCTGACAGTCCAGACGCTGCCTCCCCCCCCCCCCCCCCCCCCCCCCCCCCCCCCCCCTCCCCCTCACTCCACAC